CAAAACTATGTCATCTGCGAACAACATGCACCACGGTACCTCGTCTTGTAAGTGCCTAGTTAAGTCGTCCATAATTAAGACAAATAGGTCCGGGCTCAATGCTGACCCTTAGGGGTCGTTTGGGTACCTGAAAATATAATACAGGGAAATAGATTACTAGGAAATATGACATTTACACTGTTTGGGTACATTTATTAGTAAGAAAATAAAAATACACATTTCCTCAAATATCGTGAAATATATTAAACACAGAGGGGGCTGGGACATCTTTTACGTGTGTGACGGGTAATCTACTGCACACTCTAAAAAACTATTTTCCCTCTCTCATGCGTACATCCTCTTCTCCCTCTCAAGCTCCTATTTTTCCTCTCAACCTAGTAAGCCTACCACATCCCTCTTTCTCTCTCAAGCTCCTATTTTCCAGATTCAAAGCCATTTCTAAATCATGGTATCAAATTTTTTTCTCCCATCATTTTGCTCGAATCCACTCTCTCTCGTCTTCCATACTTTCTCAATTTAAAAATTAGATTGAGATATTGGAATAAGCCCATGTGATAAACTATATGTTATTTAAATTATAATGATTACTCTTTTGGAAAGAAAAAAAAAAAAGATTTTTTAGGATTAGAGTTTAGATATGGATAAAGAAGTGATAAATTATTTACACATTGGCATCTTCCAATATCTCAATCTAATTTTTAAAATACTTTACTAATTTACAATAATTTTTTTTAAAATACATCACCATCTACTATTTAAACTACAAAGTAACGATACTTAAAGGTTGTGACTAAAATAGTTCACTCAATGTTTATGTCCAATATTAATTCACACTATTAAGTTATTATTCTTTGAGGCATGACAAGCATGGTATAGTCGTGCTATATTAAATAAGAATGTCTACAAAGAGACCATTTATCTTTTGTGAATGGAGGTCACAATTATTCTCAAATATTAGATGTCAAATTGGATTGCTTGAGGTGAGTTATGAAGTGAAATTTCCTTTTTTGAAATTTTGTATTTATTCAATAACACTACTACAACCACCCATTTTGAAATTTAATGGACAAGAATTATTGTGCATACAAAAAATAAATGGTCTCTTGGTAGACAATTCCATATTAAATCGTTATGTCCAGTAAGAGCATTGTAAGAGCAAATTTAAGGTGCAATGTAGACAAGTTCATATTAAACTATGTCAAATAAGAGCAATGTATTTCCCAGGTTGCATCTAAATACTACTCAAACAGTAATAATTCATTTGCATGTAATGTCTTATGCAGTAATGAATTACACCAGTAATATATTTCACATACAATATATTTCAAGTATCCAAACGACCCTTTAATATAGACCTATTGTCACTGAAAATTCATTTGTCTCTCCACTAGTTGTTTGTATACTAGTTAGCGCTCAATTGTACATATCTCTCACCAAATCAATGTAGTGTCTGGAGACTCTTTTATTTTCTAACACCCGCCAAATTAAATCTTCATGTACTCAATAAGTTTTCTCTAGGTCAATAAAAACCATGTAAAAATCTTTGCCTTTCGCCCTAAACTTCTCAATCATTGTCTACGTAATCAATCACCTCAGTGGTTGACATTTCAGACATAAAACCAAATTGATTTCAAATACACCCGTTTCATGCCATAAACGTTGCTCAATCTCTCTCAGAGCTTTATAGTATGGCTCATAAGCTTGATCCCTCACTAGTTCGCACATTTATGTATCTCCTTTGTTCATGTTAATAGATACCACAATACTTTTTCTCTATTCGTATGGCAATTCCTTGTTCTCAACACCTTGTTGAACAACTTCGTCAGTCTGTCAATTAATAATTTTTTAAAATAAATTCTCCATTTTTTGTTATCTTCATCATCCTTCACCAAAACCTTTTGATCATCGCTCTTAATGTATTTAATATGGTTTAGATCCCTACATTTTTTCTCTTTTATATTTGCTAATTTTAAGATATCTTTTTCACCTTCTCTTGTTGTTTGTTTATTATATAGATTATTATGTGCCTTAAGGTTGGCTTTACTTACTATTTGTTTAGCGATTTTCTTAGTATTTTTATATTTTTTTAAGTTTTGATTGTTTCTATTACATTGCCAAGTCTTATAATATGATCATTTTTTGCTAATAGCCTTTTGAACCTCATCACTTCACCATCAAGTTTCCTTATCGGACTTTATTTTCCCTCTAGATTCTCCTAAACCTTCTTTTACCATTTTCTTGATACAGTCAATTATGTCATTCCATATTATATTAACATCATGTTCAGAGTTCAATTTCCTTCTTGAACTAATTTATCCCTAAATAAGTCTATGTTCTCACTTTTTAAATTCCACCACCTAGTTCTTAGATACCCATTACTCTCACCCCTTCTCTTCCATGTCATTATGCAATCTCTCCTAGGATAACTTTGTAGTCTTTACATGATGGTCACTCTACCTTCTTAACTAGAAAGAGGTCTATCTGACTTTTATGTGATCCACTTTTATAGGTTATTAAATGTTTATCTCGTTTTTTAAAGTGAGTGTTTACTATTGCTAGGTCGTAGACTATAGTAAAATCTAGAATAGTCTCAATCATCTCATTTATTTTCCCAAACCCATATCCTCTATGTACCTTTTCATATCCTCTACTATCTTTCCCTACATGACCATTTAAGTCCCCTCCTAAAAACGTCCTCTCTCTATTTGGTATGTCTTGGACTATTCTATCTATGTCCTCCCCCCAAATTGTCTCTTAATTCTATCATCTATCATACTTGTGGTGCATAAGCATTAATCACGTTAATTGTCTATTCCTCTAATACAAGTTTAATTAATAAGAACCTATCACCTATTGTTTTGACATTAACTACTTTATCTTTTAAATATTTGTCTACTATTATACCTACACTATTTCTATTACTATCTTTTCCTGTATATCAAGGTTTATACCTATTTATTTATTTAGCTTTTTCTCCTTTTCATTTAGTTTTGGGTGCGGTTTGTATAGAGCG